TTTTTTATATTTTTATATATATATATTTTTTTTTTTTTTTTTTTTTTATATTTTTTTATTTTTTTTTTTTTTTTATATATTTTTTTTTTATATATATATATATATATATATATATATTATATATATATATATATATATATATATATATATATATATATATATACACACACACACACACATATATATATATATACACACACATACACAAATATTATCTTCATAACAATAATCATAAAAATAAATTTGGTCTCTTGTCAAGACAAGATCTAAAACAGATCAAAAACGGTAGGGATTAAGGCAAAGGAATATAACTCAGATTTTTACCCACAATCTTACTTCTTTTTTTCAGATTTCACTCCCCGGAGCATCTGACATCATGTACCTCACTCAGGACACACGTTAGGGATTCCCCTACCGTAATACACCTAAAACAAATTTGCTGTAAAAATTAACAATGGTACGGAAGCGTTTTCTCTTGTCAATGGCAGGGAAAGTGTTAAATGGAATGATTTATCGATTTGATGCACATCATAATAGCAGCCATACATGTAAAGCACAAATAATATCCTTCACTTCGGTCACATCCAGCGGCCATCATCCTTGAACCAATCTTCATCAGTGTACGCTGCATTCTCCGTTTGTTCCATTGCTCCCTTTTGTTAGATGTTTGCTTTCACTTTATTTTGCTGTCTGAATTACATCAAACGCACAAAATGCCTAGTTCACGCCATGTTATTTACTCGATTTGTGCCACAGGTTATCTAATCTTATCTAGGTTATCTTTGCAATGACTTCACATATAAATCACTTGCAGTTAACGCCTCATCTGCTTACTTATCAGGTAATAAGTAGAATTAGATTATATGGTTTGGAATTGGATGTTTTATGAGATTATTAAATTTTATTGAATTTCTTCGCAATTTTTTTTTGCATTTTAATTAAGAATTTAGCAGGATCACAAAAAATACATCTTATTGTGGATTTTGCGTTGGATTCAGTAATCGCAAAATCACGAAAATCTAGGGGGTCTGATGATTACTCCAATGTACACCTCAGTTTGAAAACCCGTGCTATAGACTGCCCTTGGTGAAACAATTATCACAGAAAGCAGTATAGACAAAACACTGTGACTGTTTTCAGGCTGTTTAACTTTTATGTGCATTAAACTAGTCTTTTTAATCCACATTAGCTGCCAGACAGATGCAGTTAGTCAGGGCAGCTGTCACACAGATGGCCGTTTCCCTCCCAACGTTATAAAGGAGTTAATATTGTAAGTGCCGTATTGGACTCTAAAGCAATACTTCCAGTATATATTTTTAGCTCCAATCACAAGTTAGTGTTCATCATATAGTTGAATTCTTTCTTAGAAAATCAATGTGAAATTGTGTTTCACTAGAATTACGATTTCTCTGAAAAATACATTGTTTGTCATTTACTGAAATGTGATTAAAATCATTCAGAGGTCTGCTTTGCTACATCACCTTCGTTCAGTCTTGCAAGTCACAGTTTCCCAGGTTTGTTGGAATAATCAGTCTATAACAGTTCAATCTCAGGCTACCAATCCTAATCGTGCAATCTTAGCGGAGAGGAAGGAGTGGAGGATAAAAACAATAGGCTTGGGACAGGAGTGCAGGTCCAGTTGCTGTGAATAGAAAAAAAAAATGACAGAATTAAAAAATGAAGGGAAGTTCCTGATGTGACAAACACATGTTGAGAACAACAGTCATGATTTGAACAGGTCTCCTCAGGAACTTCCAGAGATGGACCATCCATTAGTAAAGACATACATCATTTCCTGTTGCAAACAATTACATATAAGGAAGGGTGATCTCTAATAGGTGGCCTAAAATCTTTTTTTTTTTATCACATTTGACTTTGACAATCAAGGTTTTGCAGTACACTTTCTTTTCCTTTTACACAATTTAACTACCATTGCCTAAAGTAGATTAATTTAGATAACAATATTACTGTTGTTTATAATGCAAATAATCTTTAGGTTCAGCAAGGATGCACTAAGGGCCAGTTTCCACTGAGTGGTGGTGTACGGTTCAGTTTAGTATCGCCGTTTCCTCTGTCAAAAGGTATCTAAAAGCAAACCGTACTACACCACTTTTTGGGTACCCTTTGCAAAGTTTATCTAGCACAACAAAAGGGTACCAAAAAGCAGAACAAGACGCGCAACTGAACGTTATAGGTTTACAGAGATGCGTCACTTGTTTGTGCAACAAGCCAGATTGAAAACAAAGAAACAGCAATGTTTTAAATACACAGCCGAGACATTACATTGTAATAATATATACTTATAATAACGAGCCATGGTCAACCTGAGCTTAAACAAACCTCGTCTTCATCTTGACGAACAGCCAAAAAACCAAGAAGAAATCTTCAGAGTAAAATTTACTCAGTTCAGAGAACATTTGGTCCCTCTCTAAATTGAGCAAAATTTACTCAGCAGCAGATTTAAAGTTAATGAGACAATGATGGGGTTAATTAAGTGATGATTGAGCACTGATGATGAACACCTGCTGTTAATAAGCAGAATCAGAGAAGAGAAACACACAACTACATCTACCTTCAGTCACAGCCGTAGATTAAATAAACTGAAATAAAACACATCAAATCTCTCAAAATCTCAGCAAAGGATCATTAAGGAACTCCACAAACAGCAGCTTTACTTATTAACAACCTGTTTGGCCTTATTTCTGCCACACTCTATAAAATTCCAAATAATGATAATATTAGGAATTAACTTTTTTTACAACATTAAAAAAAATAATAATAACACTTTTTGTGTTTAAGCTGTCACCATTGAGGAGAACAGTAGCTGCTTTACTTGGACTCTGACTCGATTTCTAATGTTAGTTTCTCTTTGTTTGACAAATAGTGTATTGTGGCAAATATTGTATAAAGAGAGCAATTGTGCTCTGGATAGTTGACTCTGTGGTGGTTAGTCACTGGTCAAATCAGTAAAATTGGTTTTTATCTATTAAGTTTAAATAATGTTGTATCACAAAAGGAGCACTGTATTAAGAAAATGGAGCTCACTAATACTTTTATCAGATCATTTTTCTACAGTGCATGCTGGGAACTACGGATGAATGCCGTATGATTGTCTTAACATGCACTGCAGCCAAGAAAAAAAATTAAAAATCTCTAACCACTGTTGAGATAGATTTGCTGATTATTGATGTCTGTATCTCTAAAGTGATTCAGATGCTCAATTTATTTTAATATAACACCAGAGCTGAGATCCATTCTCTTGAAAAACACTGAATTTTATATTTTTTATATGATAAACCATCATCTAAACATAATTTCTTGTACAGTTACTCTTATCAAGAGTAAGAATCCACACAGGATCAATCAATCTGATCACATGTGCTCTCTTTGTACTTGTCATTGCAAGTAAAGAAAAATTAACATTAGAAATCGAGTCCAAGTAAATCAACCACTTTTCTGTGTAAACATGTTTTTTTTTTTTTTTTGTAAAATGTAAATAACTAAAACGGTTAATTCTAAATAAATCTTATATGGACTTTTGTGAACATCTGACAGAAATGAAGTCAATCAGGTAACCAATGAGCAAAGCTGCTGCTGCTTCTCTTCTGTTTCTGCTAATTAACAGCAGGTGTGCATCATCAGTGCTCAATCATTACATAATTAACCCCATCATTGTCTCATTAATTTTAACTCTGCTGCTGAGTAAATTTTGCTCAATTTAGAGAGGGACCAAATGTTCTCTGAACTGAGTAAATTTTACTCTAAAGATTTTACTGTGCAGAATGTACCCTGTGCCCCATAGTTGTTTACAAGGTCATCTAAAGCGCAAGTGGTTTTGCTTTCTCACTTGTACTCACCGTGTACCGACTAAATGTTTGTTGTGCATAGTTTTTCTGTAATTGCTAACATATCGGAGACTGTAAGGTGCTGTATGTGTTCATATACGGTGCATTTCTGTACTTATTTTATATAATTGCAGATGTTACAGTAGGCTATTTCATTCGTGTTAGACTTGTATCTTAGCTTATATCATTGATCTGCAGTTATAATTAAATCATGTTCATGAGAATTTTAGTAATGAACATTTATACGCAAGTTTTTGTGTATTAAGCATTTGTTTTGTGAAAAGTGCTTCTCATATGATATATGAATGACCAGTACTGCTTTACTTTGACATTTCCTAGAGTGAGAATGACGTCGACTGAAACTTTTTGTTGCACACCATGCTCACCAAAAGAGTATGATACCTTTTTGGCAGTAGAAACGCAAGCCTAATAAAGGTGACCCGTATCGTACTGAACCACTCAGTGGAAACGGGTCATAAAATTGATATAAATTTCCACATTAAGGGAATAAATTACACGTTACACAACATGACTGGTCAGAAATTTTGTTTTAATAGGCTAATATTGTTCTTAAGAAAACAAACACCACTATAAGTGGGCACATTTTTTGTATTAATGGTTAAAAGCAAAACAATTATTTAGTTTTGAATACAATATTTTATATGTAACTTGTATCCTTGTAAACAATGTATTCTTCCTGAATAATGTATTGATTTTAATGTATTCATTCAATTAATTCTGAGCAGAAATGTTTATGTAAATGTATATTTCAATTAGCATAAAAAATGCCAGACTAGGCATCCATAAACATTAACTAATTATTCAAATAACATCATTTCTTTTGAACAAAATAACATTTTATTTTGATGGTCCATTTGAGTATTAGTAGACTGTCTGCTTAATATCTGCTGATACTGCTCCTTCAGCAGACATTTAACTGACCATCAGAAACTTTGCAAGTACATATCAATTTACACTAACCCTTACCTAAACCAAACAGTCTACTTAGCAGCTTGTTTTTTTTTTTTTAATCCAACATTAAATATAATAAAATCCTCTCATGACGGCACCTAAGGAGATTAGAGACCTCAAATGGTTACTTACAATTTCACCCTCGTTCCCGCCGAAATCCAGGTAGAGGATCCGTACACCATCATCCGCAGACATCCTGAGCCTTTCAAACGGGTAGCTGAAGAGCGGCTCAGCTCTAGAACATTCCTCTCCTTCTGCCACCACTGAGAAACCTCGCTCATAGTGAATGACCAGCCGACAGTCCTGACCCTGATACATGCAGCCTGACCAAACAGAAAAATTAAGAAGATAAATCACAATAATAAACAGACTTAAATTCATCTGTCATCCCCAAAGTTTCGACTTGTCAAACTTAAGGGTTAAAAAAAAAAAAGTATGAATTTCATATAATTGAGAAATTAATTAAATCATTGATTTTCTTTTAGCTTAGTCCCTTTATTAATCTGGGGTCGCCAGATTGAGGCGATTGTGCTACAGTACCCACTGCACCACCGTGACACTCAATATTAATACAATTTCATATTATTTTAAAAATAAAAAATAAGCCGGCTACATGGTGGTGCAGTGGGTAGCACGTTTGCCTCACAGCAAGAAGGTCACGGATTCAAGCCTTGGCTGGGTCAGTTGGCATTTCTGTGTGGAGTTTGCATGTTCTCCTTGTGTTTGCGTGAGTTTCCTCCGGGTGCTCCGGTTTCCCCAACAGTGGGAAAATGCGGTACAGGTGAATTAGGTAAGCTAAATTGTCCATAGTGTATGTGTGTGAATGAGTGTGTATGGATGTTTACCAGAGATGGGTTGCAGCTGGAAGGGCACCTGCTGCGTAAAAACATATGCTGTATATATTGGATGAATTGGTTAATTACGCTGTGGCGACCCCTGATTAATAAAGGGACTAAGCCGAAAAGAAAAAAAAGAATGAATTAATTAAAAGAAAATAAATGAATTAATTAATTATATATATATATAGATATAAATAAATCACAGTAATAAAAAAAGAACATTATTGTTATTTGTTTATAATAAACAAAGAAAATGTCCTAAATTAAAGCCTACTAATGCATTATTTTCAACATAAATGATGCTGACATTTAATTTTTAATGGGTTTTAATAGAAACATTTTCGTATTTATTAAGTTATTTTTTATGTCTTTATAGAATGCAGAATTGTGTCAAAGCAACTTCACAGAGATGAATATTCAATAAACACAGGTATGAATTTTCATCATAGTGTGGGATTTTTTATTTTTTTATTTTCATAAAGAAGAAGAAAAAAATGCTGGTTTGCTAAAACTCAGATCAATTAAACTGAATGTCATTGTAGGATGCTATTCTCTGTAGAGCAGCTCTACAAATGCCTGCAAAACAAGCCAGAGTGTATTTATTTTTGTATTATTATTTGGAATATTTGGATTTTGATAATCTGTTTGTTACATTGCATCTACATGTCAACTAATTCTCATTAGATTATAAATTGACTGTTCGGTTGGGGTTAGTGTAAATTGATGTACTTGCAGATTTACTTGGGGTTATTGTAAATTGATGTACTTGCAGATTTACTTGTAGTCAGTTAAATGTCTGTTGAAGAAGCAGTATCAACATATATTAAGCAGACAGTCTACTAATACTCAACTAGACCATCAAAATAATGTAACCTATTGTTTATTATCATCACCATTAAAATGCTCAAAATGTATAACTAATAAAAGACAAAGACAAAAAAAGAAATAAAAAAAGTGTTGAGACTACCTCAACTTTGTAAATGATCCATTCAGATGCTATTTAATGATATGGTATGGTGCAGTTTATAAAGATAATAAAAATCAAATCAATAAGATTATCAGTATGAGTGATCTGAACTGCCTTTCTAGTTGGTTCAGTTCATGCTAAATTCTATTAGAAGAGGAATAAAAAAATGTACGAATCTTCCATCTGTGAGATAAATGTCCTTTGATTGGCCAGATAATTGCTATATTATTCATCACCCATAATCTCCGCTCAATACCTGCCTCGCTCCCATCAAATACATCGCAGGACTCCATGTATCCAGTATCAGTTCTCCAATTCATTCAATCACAGCTCATCAGGACGTGTGGAAAACCACTGTTAGCATGTCTATTGTGTGTGTGCCAGTGATCCACTTCTGCAGTTCCCTCCGTTTGCCCCAATAAAGCCTCTCTGATTCACTCTTTGCGCTGGTAATTGCGAGTCTAGTGTGTTCTTTTCACATAGCGAATCCCCTCTGCTTTATCCAAGGTACAGTCCATTACCCTGATTAGATCATCACTACAATAAAAAAAACATCTTCTGCAGCAATTTAACCATTAAATCTGAAGAACTCTAACTTTAAACCCTTACACACCTATTAATGAGTGGCTCTGGGCGAGGAGCTCGTAAAAAGGGGAGATTTGGATACGCTGCTGACAATACTGTAACCTTATCCAGAAAGATCTTCAGGACAGAGGGATCTTTCCCACCAGACAGGCTTACAGGCAGTCCCAAACCACCTGCACTTCACTTCTGAAAGGATTAGCTGAGGAATTTACAATATAGCTTTACAAAATATCCAGTACGTTCCACAGTTTAGTTCATCCCAGACTCCCTAGTCGTTCGCCATTTCGCGATAGCTGAACGCAAAATCAACAAAAAAGTAAATTTTTTTGCAATCCAGCTAAACTCTTAATTTTAATGCTAAATAATCGCTAAAAATGTAAATAATCTCATAAAACATCAAATAGTTTCTTGGGGGTTTCAGTCTGTGCAGTAAGCAGACACAGATGAAAGGTAAGTGATTTACATGTGAAGCCAAAGCAAAGATAGTATTAGAAATCCTGAGGTACGAATTGGGCGTTTTGTGCGTTTTATGTGCTTTAGACTGCAAAAGAAAGTGTGAGCAAACATCTAAGAAATGGAGCAATGAAACAAAAAACAGATAGTGATTGGTTCATGGATGACGACCGCTGGGCGTGATTGAAGGACATTATTTGTACTTTACATGTATGGCTGTTATTATGATGTGCGTCAAATTGATAAATGATTTTGTTGAACTCTTGAATGAACTCTTTCCCTGCAGTTACCAAAGAGAAAACGATTCCCTGTCATTGACGAGTTTTATATTTTTATATTCTATATAATTTTTAAATATATATTAGGGCTGTATAAGAGGGCTAATTATTCTGACTTCAACTGTATACATACAGTTATTTTCCACCCTGCCTAGGAAAGAGAAATAAATACAATAGAATAAAAATATGAAACAAACTGTGCTTTAAGCATCTTCACTGTAAGAAAAACACTTTAGCTACAAAAGTCCTTCAGTCAAAAGCACTGAGGGATTTTCTCGTTTTGTTGTTTGATTAATAATCATAAAAACAGGCGGCAGCAGGAACTTCGCTTTCACTTTGATGGTTTCTCTTTCACGTCTTTTGAGTCTCAACTCGAATGTTTATTACACAAATGAGGGCTAAATATGAATAATCACTAAACACCGCGTTTTGACACCTATTTGACCATTAAAGCACTCACATTAAGTTGACTTGAGATGTGTGCGCTGACTGCACTCTGCTCATCTCAGTGTGAGAATGAGACCGAATGATGGTCTTCCGCGCTGCTAAGTTAATAATCGTTTATTTCAATTAATGGTTTTTCATAATCATTAGAAGCTAAAATCGAAATCAAAATTGGACTTTTAATTAATTGCACAGCCCTAGTCCTAAAGCCCCAGTATAGTGAAGAGGACTCTATACTGCTTAGTGAGGGCCATCTTTCTGATGAGACATTAAACCAAGGCCCTGACTCTCTGTGATCATTAAAAATCCCAGGATGTCCTTTGGGAAAGAGTAGGGTTTAACACCGGCCTCCCTGCCAAATTGCCCACTGGCCTCTCTCCATCATGGCCTCCTAACCATCCCCATGTCATAATTGACTTCATCACTCTGTCTCTTCTCCATTAATCAGCTGGTGTGTGGTATGGCGCAATATGGCTGCCGTCACGTCACCCAGGTGCTGCACACTGATAGTGGATGAATAGATTCCCCTCAAAAATGTGTAAAGCAATTTGAGTATGAAGAAAAGCACTATATAGAAGAAAGGAATTATTAAACCAACTATTTACTTTCAGTTGCTAAAAAGCTGAATTTTCATCACTTATAATGAATAAAGCCGTTGTGTCACTACAATGTTTCAATTCTGTGCACAAATGGCAAAACGATTTAAGGACGTTTAGAATATATATATATATTTTTTTTGGCCAGTAAATTTTTACTTTATTTTCCAGTATAGAAAAGGCTCATCTGGTGTGCCATAGTTCATGCTGTCATAGAAAAAGGAGTTGTCTGTGCCATTATCACAATAGAAAATCTGCTTTTTTTATACATGATTTTTTTTTTTCTAATGGTGTTGTTGAAGAGATTTGAACAATTGTTTATTTTTATCATTTAGAGTCATGCATTGAATATTATGTGTTAGGCTTTATAAGGTTAAGGGTAAAAAAATATCTTGTTGTTTCTTTCAGTGTTCCCTTTATAACATACAGAGAACAATAGTTCTTGAGGTCAAAAAAGTCATGAAGATGTGTATATTTGAAGAGTTCAGATGCAAAAACCTGTAAATGCTTTTTGAAATGTTGTTCTAAAATGAGCTTTTTCCAGCCTCCAATGTTTATGTTCACTTGTTTCACTTTAAAGGCAATGAAAATAACTTTTTCATCACAATCAAAGTAAAATAGCTGAGCCTACACACAGAAGTCAGAGAAAAATGCTAATTTCAGAAAAATATCAAACGGCATATAGAGCCTTTTGCATAGAAACTTTTCGTTTTCACAGTAAAACAACACAAGATATGATAAAATATAGCTGTTTTAGCTGTCAGTTTTGGTTGCAGTAATCAGAAAGTTTGTTAAATGAGTGGTATAATTTTAAAAAACAAATAAATATTGATGATATTCCATGACTTAAAAAAAAATCATTTTATTTAAAGGGGTGGTCCACTACGATATTATATTTTAAACTTCAGTTGATGTGTAATGTAGCTGTGTGAACATAAACAGCATCTCTGAATGTAAAATATTCAAAGTTTAATGCAAAGGGAGACCTTGATTTGTACAGAGTTAGCTTAGCAACGCCTACAATTAACGAATTTTGGGGACTACAAAAAATACTTCCGCCCCCTGTGAGATCACAAAAGTTCGTTATTGCGCATCCCACACTGCGCAGGTAAAGGCCGTGGCCAGAGGCGCTGTAACGTTACTGCAGAGAGAGAAATGCCA